GGCAATATGCTGACTCTGTAAACCGCTTAGAGAGGGCTAAAAGCCCTATGAAGCGGTATATAAGTCGAACTGCTATTGCTATTGCTATTGCTATTTCATAAAGCCAAGCTCGTACGTCCAGTGTGCAGGCCATTTCTGGACAGCAGTTCCAGTGTCATTAAGCCTCTTTGCCACCGCGTCCCCCCAATGTTATGCTGGGTCATAACAGTGTTTGAAAGTCACCAAACGTCAAGAAGATTGGCTGTAACAATGATCCACAAACCAGCAGTTAATTTAGAGGGTGTTATTGTGACCCTGTCTAACTGCAACAAGGCTCCTACAATATATATCAACATATATCACAGCCATCTATGCTTTCTATTCCTTGATTTCTACCATTTGAAATTAGATGTCTTAGCCAAGTATGTTCTTCAACCAAGTTGAGGATTGGCAATGGGAAATAAAGACCTTTGATGACGTTCTGAACATTTAGCCCTTCTCCCCATTTTTCCAAACATAAGGTGAAAAATACCTGCTAATTTTACCCCTAGGGAACCCATAGCCCTCGGCCCCCTCCTAAAAAGAGAAGATGAAAGTTTGAGGAAAAAGCTTTCCCAGTATATAATACAAAGCAAATCACACCATCTCAAAGTGCTTTTAAAGTTAGATAAACGCAGGAATTTCCATCCTGACATTGTCTCCTTTAAACAAATGTTTGAAACAAAGATAAAAGCGCCATTGTATGGTGCTACTGCATATAGGACACTATTGAAAGATAGTTTCTCGACTGTAAATGTGTCTATTTCATTGCAAATAACATCGAGCCAACAGATGCAACATTCTAATCCCATAAGTAGGTTTGGCAACGCATGTGCAAACCTCGAAGAACTGTGAGCTCACAACGCACAGAACGTGAGCTATTGGGCACCCACTGCCATTAATCTGGTTGTCAACAGGAAAGTACTGTTGGAAAGCACCATCCTTGGCAGATGCTATTGGAGTCATTATACAACAATGACATCCTGACATACAGTGTGTTTCTCAGTAATATGCCTAGTGGTACTACAAGGTGCCTGTGGAGTCTCTAACTGCCAGAGAACATAATACTTTTTATTCTGTTCGTGCTTGCTTGACAGCTCTTGAATTTGTCGCGACTTTGTGCCTTATGCCTTGTTTATTTGCTCCGCAATAGTTTGAATGCCATCTGTTCTCCCTCTCTGCTTTTTTTGCCCATCCATAAAGGCAGCTTTCTATTTTCAACTTTATTATATTACAATGTTTCAATGGAACTCTCTTAGTTGGGAGACATGACAATATAATGAAAAAGGCTCCTTTTCATAAATGGTGATTCAAACATTTATTGGGGAGCGGGACACAAACATTTTAATAAAATTTCACTAGCGGTAGTTTTCCCAAGTGGAAATACTCTCCAAATTCAAAAAAGGTCTTAGTTCTTCTGCCTCTGGTTCAAAGCCAGGCCAAATCCTTATATAATGTAAATGAAGCTGAGTTCATAATGGTCAATAGATCTATAATGCTACTGTCCTATTGGAGAATAAGAACATCTAAGCCAGAAAATCTCAAATTAGCAATGCACATGGACTTGTGTTGTGGCCCAGCAGGAGCCATTGGAGCTGCCACCAGACTCCGACAGCGAGGGGCCCTATGAATTGGCTCTGGAGGATGTGGAGGACCCTGGACNTTTCTTTCTTTCTTTCTTTCTTTCTTTCTTTCTTTCTTTCTTTCTTTCTTTCTTTCTTTCTTCATTTCTTTCTCTTTCTCTCCCTCTCTGTGTCAGTCTGTCTGTCTGTCTGTCTGTCTGTCTGTCTGTGTGCGTGCGTGCGTGTGTGTTTGTGTGGCAGAGGTGTGTTTCAAAATTTTTTGGACCCTCTTCTGTAGGTGTGGCCTGCTTTCCGGGTCCACTGGTGGAACCTCTTCTAACCGGTTCGGTAGATTTGACGAGCTAGTTCTACCGAAGAGGTGCAAACTGGTAGGAACCCACCTCTGACTATTTTCCTTTAGCAGCCTAAAAGAAGTGTCTGATAATTTTAACAACCAGACAACTAAATATCTAAATAGCAGCATGTATATGGTAGTTTTAATCAGAATAAAGTCCCTTTTAGTGAAAAAAAAATACAATAGGAAAGTTCTCCTTTCCTTGTCTGTCATACTTGTTATCTCTAGGCATAATTTACTGAAAAAAATATCCTAAATAAATATTCTGCTTGTTTGAATGACTTTTAACCGGGATGGCCAGATGATAAGCAGGATATACCTGCTGAAATTCCTTTTGCTTATCTCTTTGGGCTTGTTTTACTTCTGGCCACCGTTAAGTAGAAGACCTTTAATGGGCTTTGCACAGAAAACATTGCACAGGATAACTTTAAAGTGAATATTGTGCCTTGAATGCAATCATTGCAGTGTAGGACACTGAATTTTTGCTAGTAGCCAAATGTTGATTAAACTGGAAGCGATTCCTTTCACAGAAAGAGAAAATAGACTTTCATTTCTGTTCTTCCAGTTTTTCTTAGCGTTTGCGTTTGCTCTCAAGTTTGGTAACTGTTTCCTTGCAGCTCTGCGTTGCCAGCAAACGATTCATTGTTCTGGCATGTCTGTGATGCCATATAAAGCTGAGGAAAAAATGCTGTCTCTTTTTCCTGTTTTCCGTAGGATAAGATTCTTGCAAGTCAACTTGCTTTAACTTGTAGAAGTCTTACCCTGCCTTAAGATCAAACCCAATTAAATTGTCCTTACTAAGGTTTAGGCCGTTTGGAAAAGTAGTGTCAACAATTCTTAGGTTGATGGTATAAAGTAACCACAATATGAGCAGAACTACCAGTCCACATGACTAATTGCATAGCTGGATTTTCCCTTGTAAGGAAAACAGAAGAGTAGAGACATCTGTTTTCTGTTATATGCTAACCTTTTCTTCGATGGCTCTGGATTTATTCAAGCTTTTAAAAAGAAATATTTAAAATATTTCAGAAACATAACTCTGGAAAATTATGTGCTGCCGCTACTGTATATTTTAGAATACTGTACATTGTCGTGCTACAGGAAATAAAACAAACCAAAGTTTATATAAAGGGATCTTATTTCACAGGTAGGAAGAGAAATAAATGTCCCCCTTTTTTCCCCCAGATGCTAAATGGTTTGGCATTGGAAATAGAAGGGAAATAACAGCTGCCTAATGCTTCATTTTTTAAAACAGACCTTAGAACCTAGATTTGCAGATAAGTTCTGTAACTATTTTTTTTTTAAATATACTTTTTTTATTTTCCATTTTCATAACATATAAATCACATGTATGCTATTACATAGCCAAAATTCTATTGTATTAAGTAGTAATTACATCAGTTCCTCTTGTCATCATCGCCCAGAAAGATAAAAACCCACTATTAGCTCTTCTGCTCTCCATACACCTCCTTCTTCTCCCTCTCTC